CTTAGGAGCTCTCTCTCTCTGCTCCTCTTGTCTCCTCTTCTTTTCTTCCCCTTCCACATCATCCTTCTTCTCCCTATCCTGAACCACAAACTCCTTCAGGTGCCCCTCTCTGATTAGCCTCTCTATCTCATCTTTGAACTCTTTGCAATTGTTCGTCCAATGTCCATAATCACGATGGTACCTGCAATAAGGATCTCCCCGCACTGACACATGTCCTGCTTTCTTAGGTAGTGGATGGGGTTTTCCAAACATCTCAGTCTCCCCTCTCTGTTCCAACATCTCATACACTTGCCCCCTTGGTGATGTCAGTGGCGTATAACGCTCATACTTAAAACCCATACGCCCCTTCTCCTCATTCGTGCTCCCCCTTTCTCCTGACCTCCTCTCATCTGGCCTATGTTTCTCCTCTTGTTTCTTCCCCCTCGCTCGATCATGTGCTAAGAAATCCTCCTCCGTCTCCTCCATATTCATATACTTAGCACATCTCTCTAATAGTTCATCATATGACCTTGCTGGTTTCTTAGCTAAAGAATTCCTGCAGTACCCCGCTTTCAAACCTCGTGTGAGCCCCCCCGCTTTGATCTCCTCTGTTGCAGTAGGAACCTCCACACAAGCTCGCGTGTACCTAGCAACATAATCCCTCAGTGACTCATTCTCCTGCTGTTGCATGTTGATCAGCGAGAGGTAGGTCTTTTCCTGCTTCCTTGCGCTAGAGAACTGATTGATGAATAGCGAGCTAAATGCCCCAAAGCTATAGACAGATCCCGGTGGGAGCTGGTGAAACCAATCCTGAGCAGAGCCCTTCAAAGTCGTCAGAAAAGCCCTGCAACATACTCCGTCACTGTAGCGATGCAAGACCGCCACATTCTCAAAACTCCTCAAGTGTCTAGCTGGGTCTGATTATCCATCGTAGTATAGGTTAGGCTCCCTGAAATTCTGAGGCAACTCCGCACCCAAAACCTCCTCAGTAAATTGATTATCCTGCAACCTGGGCAGCCGCCTCCCGTCCAACCTAGCTTGCATCTCCTTAATCTGGTTCGCCATATGCTCCAACACCGCGTCTCTGGGTGACCCATTAGCCGTCGGAGACATCACTGACCTCTCCTCTTGCTCATCCCTCCGCTGGCTACCGCCACCCAACGGCCTAGACATCACCGGAACGTGTTGCTCCACCACCGGGTTGATTATCAGCACACCTCTATCCAAACGACCTCCGCCCTGCTCCGGCTGCGCCACCACCACAACTGGCCTCACCACCTCCGCTTGTGCTCGTGCAACCAGAGCTCTACTAACCGCCTCCGCAATAAGACGGTCCAACTCTGTCCTGGTCACCCTCATCTCCGGCTCACCTCCTCTTTGCACGGCTCCTTGCCCCGATGTCTGCACAATCACCTCCTGGCTACTTCTCTACTCCGGCACCGGGATCTGGTTCACCACTTGCAAATTCACCTGTGGGGTAGCCATTGAACCCACACCTCCAGTCCACCCCACCGGTGGTTTTCCTCCGTAGGGCGTTTGCGTGACCCAAGCCTCCTCCAGACTTTCACCCAAATTCCTCCTCAACGGCTGCTCCTCTCCAATCGTCTGTTCCATCTTGACCTTACTTTCAACCAGTAGAGTAACTGAGTTACACCATTAGACGGCGCCAATTGATGTGCTCCTGCACTTGAACCGGCTTCCTCTGCTCCCCGACCGCTCAGAGACCTGCAAGGACGCCGGGAGGTGCTCCCGGCGGTAAACCTCCGACGCTCAAGTCAGTAAGAGATCAAAGATAGAAGGAAGCTATTTTAGGGTTTGTAGAATGATTGATTTTACCTCCTCCAATGGTTTACCTATTTATATGAAGTTATTAGCTTTCCCAACACGCTTTGTTTTTCCTCTGTTGGATTGATTATTTCTTTTCAATCGTGGCACTACACGTGTCCCCTGCTATCTGCTCCTCATAACCGTTATTTTAGCTCGGCCTTCAGCCTTATGCTTCAGAGGTTCCCATTCCGAGCTCCTGGACCATCTAACCTGCTCGGTAATCCGAGCACATCACCACAATTTTACCGGATTACAAGCTTTACCGAGCTGTTGACGAGCTGCTGTTGCTACTAGACCAAGTCCATATAAGACCGAGCTCCTAATGTAACTATACAAACGAGCTACAACCATGTTCACTAGGCCGAGCTACTGCAAGGTCCATTAAACCGAGCTCCTAATGTAGCTATAAGACCGAGCTCCTACTGCTACATAAACCGAGCTGCTACTTCGCTAGAGCTAATCTCCTAACTCCAACCTTACAAAACCGAGCAACTCTTTGCCGGTCCACCGACTCATTACTAGGTGTTATATCAATCTGAATCCATTATCAACTATGTATGATGATGAGAAATGAAAAGCTAAACTTAATTAAGTCCTGCAACAAAAGTGAAACATTCTTTTGTGAGTATCAACAATTAAACAAATAAAATTATATATAGTATAGAGTTTTATGAGGTACAATATTCAATAATCAATACCTCTCCCTCCCTTTGCAAAACGCAATAAGATGTTTGCCAGCACTGGACTGAAATATATGTTACGGATTTTTCTATCAAGGTGGATATATAATGGTAAAGTAGTTATATTTGTTTACAGTACATAGAAGCCGAAATTCTGTTAGCATGTGAGTTTTATAGCTTCCTATAGGTATACATATCTTAAAAAGGGGGAATAATAATANGATAGAAATAAGTTCGCATAAAAAAGCAAATAATATAATTGAATATAGTATTTTTTGACATTTAAAAATCAATTTAAAAAATACTCGGCAGGAATAACAAAAATACGTTTCAATTTTTAGTCAATGAAAAATTGGCCAATTAATACTATATTATCAATTTCTTAGAACAACTGAAACTACTATGATTATATAATAATTGTTTCTAAGTTCTAAAAGTTTGCTATGCTATATACATTATTATCTCGGATAATTATAGCCACATCAATATTTCAGTGAGAAATAATTTGTAATAAAATGAATTTAATAAAAAAGTAAACTCTAATTTTCTCCTCGATTAGCTAATTTTATTCGTACGTTTAGATATTTAATTGCAAATGTGTTGCTTTATGCTCTTCGTTGAAAATAATTATCATTAGATTGACTAATATAGGTAGTCAATAAATATTTTTTTCATACAAATCATATAATGAATATTTATCCCAATCCAAATGTTTTTGAAAAAGAATTGTAAACGTGATTTTTGGAATTCAAACCAAACGATTTTGAACGGGAATTGGGATCGGATAAGTGTGAATTTCAATTTTCAAATAAGATATGCACGATTTTTTTCCAAACAAAATTAATTTGGCCGATGTGAATTAATTTTGAAAGAGAACTATCGGATAAGTTTTAATTACAATTTTGAAATGCATGATATCTTTCCAAACAAAAATTTCCCCCATAATAAAAATACGTGAATTGATTTTGAGAGAGAATTGGGAACTCCTGAATAAGTGTAAAATTCAATTTTCAAACAACATATTTTCGATTTTTTTCAAACAAAAATTTCGCTCATAATAAAAAATGCGTTAACAGACTTCTGAACAGATTTATGAATTGCGTATAATATGGAAGTTTGTTAGATTCCAAAAAAAAATAAAAAATAAAAATAAAGGCGGAATAAATGACAATTGGCAACTAACAGATTTTGGATTTTAAAAGTAAATAAAAACCAATCGGATTTTTAAAAGTTGATGAAAACCAAATGATTTTCGGTTTTTAAACTGGTTTCCAAAAGAGGGAAGTCAAAAATGATTTTGACCAGTTTTTTACAACTTTCTACAAATTATTTATTGACCTCTCTTTTTCAATATATATAGATTTCATCAAACCCCCTTGTATTGTACTTTTGCATGCCCGAATTACACGAAATCGTTTAAGTTGACAGAAGTGTGGCTCACACGCCTGTGCTGCGACCATTTCTTCCAATTTCACCTTAGAAGCCTGTGAAAGACCATTGTACCTCTTAACACCCCATTAAATAGCCAGCAACCCTCAGCACTATTTCCTCCATCACATTACCTCATTTTGGCGCAAAAATCCTCATCTGCTCCAGAATTTGGCGTCAAACAGGTACGATTTTTTTTTATTGAAATTTTTTATAGAAAATCTGGTATGCTGTTTTTTTTTCATATTGTCCGCACAATATATATATATATATATATATATATATATATTGCAGCAATTTTTTGCTGCCAGATTTTCCAGCAATTCTTTTTTCCATCACCAGCAATTTTTTTTCAGCAACACCAACAGGCAAGTAATTTTTTTTTTAAATATCATTTTTATTTATGTCTTTTAAAATGAATGTAGGTTGAAAATGTCTTCCCAAAAATCAAGGACGACGAAGAATGAGACTCTGGATTTAAGGAATAGGCACCTTAAATGTTATTGCATCACGTTTGCTCAAATTAGGGTTCTAGGTCCTACAAAAGAAACTGTCGGCAAACAATTTTGCAATTGTCCATACAACAAGTGTGGTTTTCTTTGTTTGGCTTAAACCTACCTCGGTGAATTGGGTGAAGTCAAATCAAATGAATGAAGATGAAGTTTATTATGAAGATGCTAATGAAGTTGAATCAACAGGAGCAAATATAACAAACCAAAATGCAGAAGTTGCAATAATGGTGAAGGAGATGCAATCAAGGATGGAGAAAATGGAGAAAAAGTTTAGCAATGGATTGTTTGTTTTGCTTGTTGTAATCCTTTTGGCTGTTATTGTAATGAAGTAATTGTGCAATGTTATCATGTTGATAATGTATGTCTTTATTGTCAATGAAATGGAGTCATTCATTTCCTACACACATTACTCAAACACTTGCAACAAAAAACTCTAGCATATCACAAACACTGTCAATCACAACCAGCATAATGTGAGGAAAATAAACTGGCACAAACAACACAATGTGAGGAAAATGAACTGCCACAAGTAGCACAATGTGAGGAAAATGAACTACCAATAATATACAAAAGATTATTTCAACCACTTCAAAATTGACAATAAATAAAACACTTCAATCACAACCAAAACCAACATACTTCAGTCACAACCACAACCAAAATAGTGTCATCATCACCATATCACCACCAACATAAAAAAAATACCACCATGTCACCACCAACAAAAAACAAAAGATAGTCAATATTCCATCATGTCACAACCAAAGTCATGTCATCACCACCAACATTCAAATGCATACCAACATATCCAATAGATTACTTGTTCATGAACAACACACCTTGGGATGGAGAATTGATGGCCAGTGAATGAGCCTATGCTGTGCTTTGATGAGTGGAGGTTTGAGGGGCATTAAAGTTGGCAGAATCCTCAAAAGAAGGTTGAGTTGGCTGTTGCTGCAAAAACACAGAAAAAAGAAAGATCTGAAAAATTGAAAGCTTCAACTTGAATAACAAAACTGAAAACTGAAAATTGAATAACTAAAGGTTGAAAAATTGAAGAACTGAAAGCTTCAATTTAATAACAAAAATGAAAAACCTAAAGTTGAATAACTAAAAGCTGAAAACTGAAGAACTGAAAGCTTCAAGTTGAATAACTAAAAATTGAATAACAAAAAACTGAAAACTTCAAGTTGAAAACATAAAAACTGAAAATTTACCTTCTTAGGATTATTTGAACCAACTCTTTTGTTGCTCCTCCTCTTATTATGATTATTTTCTCCACACATAGTGCATCTTTTGATAAGCCCCTTCTTGCTGCTATTTGTTGCCACTGACCTCATGTCATCAGCATCATCTTTTCTTTTCTTTGTTGGCCTACCCCTCTTTTTCACAGCATTAGGAGGCTGACTTGGGCCTATTCCAGATTCTTCATATTCATTCTTCCCTGGAACTGAGAAGATCATATGACTATACATCCTGATATACATGTCCTTCTAGAAGAATTCAGACACATAATCAGAAAGAGGCAACTTATGATAAGAGATGCAGGCCAGTGCATGACAACAAGGGTACCCAACTAATTGGAACATGCCACATGTGCAGCTATTTGCACTCAGTTCGACTATATGGTTGTTTACTCTATGAACCACCTCATACTTGTCTTCTCCAGCCCAAGTAGGGAAACAATTCCTGCTGAATTCCCTTTTCTCTTCAATCTTCCTGACTGTGTTTGGACAAATATCCTCTGAGTATTTTTCTATTCCTGCTGTCTTCACTTGAATCCTTGCCATCATCCTTTTTCAGATCCATTCAAACATGTCTATAATAGGCATGTCCCTGGCTTCCAGAATATAATTGTTGAAAGACTCATAGATATTATTGACAATGACATCACAAAGTGCATTAGAAGAGAAGTAGCACCTTGCCCAATGTATTTCAGGGACAACTTTCAGCCATTCAAATGGAGTGACCTTGCCATCTTTCTTAGGGACAAGCTGTAACATCTCATTCAGTTATTACTAAAAGTAATTATTTTTAGTTTCGAGTTTGAACTAATTTATTATTATTAATAATGCTCGTTCCTAGTTCCAAGCTCAGTTATTAAGTTATTTCGTTAAAAGTTCGACTTTAAGTCGAAAGTATTCTCGGTTAAAATCTATTCAGTAATCGAGTCAGTTTATTAATTAATTTTGGTCCATTTATTTTAGAAATGGATTTTATTAGTAGGGATTAATTATTTTGAAATGTGCGATAAGTTTTTGATTAAGTAGACATGAGTGTCTAATTTAATCATTTGAGATAATTAATTTAGTTAGACATTTTGTCTATTTAAATTAAATTCAGAGTTTAAGCGAGATATTAGAATATATTTTTTTTAGTATGGCGAGAGTTGATAATTTTTAGCCCTTTTCGGTACCGTTGATATTATTTTCTCGACTTAGAATTATCGAGACCAAATATTAGCCTTGTAAATTTCAGCCATTAAGTTCTATTTCGCTCAAAATTTTTATATAAATATTAGCATCAGATTTTATCAATGTCATGTCTTGATGAGCAGATATTATGTAGAAAGTCTTGATGCGTAAGATGAGATGTAACTTTCATTCCAGCTCAAATTGTTCCCGACACTTCAATATAGCTACACATAATATTAGATATCTTATATAAATATATGCATCAGTTCATTAATAAGATGCTATCCTTTGTCAAAGTTGTATTATTATTATTAGTATTATTATTATTATTATTTTATTTTAGGGTGAGTTGTATCATGTTAGCATGTTTCATGCCATTTGCAAGAAAAAAAAAAGGGTTGCAAGGCCTCGGACGCATAAAAATGAGGGGGTTCAGCTATCAATTACCAGCACCAAGGAATCTACACGCTGGTTGGTCGGAAGAAGGGTTGCAAAGCCTCGGACGGCGTGAAGCGCGCGGCCTCGGTTCGTGGGCGTGCAAGTGGGTGCCTGGCTTGCTTGATCACGATACCTCGGGGTGTCGTACCCTCGGTGGTGCTTGCGTAGTACCATTTAGGCCTTCGGCCTCTTTTATTGTACCAAAAAAAAAAAAAGTTGATGTAATGTGTAAAATTATTGGTTTATATTATTTAGTTATATTGATAATATCGCTGATAGTGAAGTTGAGTTAAAAAAAAAATAACTGAGTTAAAATTGTTTGAATTTTTTTGACAAATTTTATATCAAAGCATCCTCTAATTAGTAACGTGTTAGATAGGATTGTGATTTATAGTGTGAAAATGTTGCAAAAGGGATTCAAATATTGTGGGCTGGTAAATTCATTTACGTTCCCTCTACTTTTAATCAATCAACTAGGCCCCACAATTATTATTACTCTGCTATTTTTTTCTTTTTCTTTCATTACTTTTTCAAACAATAAATCAATCCATTTTAGAATGCATTCACCTTTAAATGCTTTATAACCTCCTTTAATAGTATCCTGCCTTTTTTTCAGTTGGCACATAACATTGCATCAAACATATTAAGCAGAAAAAATTTAAATCTAGAATAGTTGTTTCCGTCAAATAACACGCAGGAAATGAAATGTAAGACTAATAAGTCAAAAAGAAAAGAAAAGAAAAAGAATTTTCAGGACCTCTATACGTTTCAGGACCAACTCATCCCCCTATATATTATTCCTTCAGAACCTGCTAAGCCTAAGTGGCAGACTCCATGCTTCAGGATCCTATGTGCCAAAATTACATGCTTCGCCTAAGTGGCAGACTCACATGCTTCAGGATCTTATGTGCCAAAATTACATGCTTCGCCTAAGTGGCAGACTCACATGCTTCAGGATCTTATGTGCCAAAATTACATGTTTCGTTGTTAGGCTTGAGAATATTTTAATTTACTTCAAATCCAAAAATATCTAGGTCCCAATTATCCATAGATATGTTGATTATATATGGTCATGTTACATTTAATAATCATTTTAATATCATTTTTTATTAGAACCATTGAATTGTAATATATAGGTCCCAACTTTTGTATTTTTTATCAGTTTTGCATATATTACATATCAAATTAATTATCTTTTGATGAGCTTCGATTTAACATCTATATTGTATGTATAAAAAAATGAATTATATTTATCTTTATAACAATAATAAAATTATTTTTTTAATATTAATTAGAAAAATAACATTATTTATTAATTAATATATTTATATTTCAAGTAGTTATATGATTTAAGTTATGAAAATTACTATAATATAACACATGTAAGTACAACAAATAAAAAATGTCATTCTAAAAATATATAATAATATATATCTTTTGTAAGAAAATAAATAAGATTTAAAATGTTTTTTTATCATTAATTTTAAAATTTAATAATAATTTTTTAACAAACACCCGTGTATTACACGGGTGTTGTACTAGTTAATAAATATACGGGAAATGCTACGGTTCCGAACCATTCCGTCGAGTTTGTAACCGTTAGATCTCCCTAATTATACATATTTCCTTTTCTCTTTGATAATAATGTATCTTCGTTGAATATCTCACTGTCACTGTGATATGTACAAAGAGCATCTCCAATGCTACTGTTGAAAGGAAAAAAAATGAATGCCGTGTTATCGTTGAAGACAATGTTTTCACATTTTTATCTCCAATGGACTCTGTCATGGTATAATTTTTTGTGACGTGTAAGGACTACTGTGAAGTCCACTGTTTGAAAGCAAACATTGTATTCGACATTAAACGTGTCAAATTTGTATTTATTTGATACATACAACTAATACGATTTTTATATTTTAAAAATTTAACCATGTTTTATTTACTTGATACATAAAAATAACACAATTTTTATGTTTTAAAAATTAAACCATTTTGTATTTACTTGATACATATACATAAAAATAACATTGAATGTAATTACAATTTTCATAATTTAAAAATTAAGCTAAAAATTTATATTTACTTGATAAATAATATAAAAATTAAACCATTTTGTATTTACTTGATACATATACATAAAAATAACGTAATTACAATTTTTATAATTAAAAAATTAAACTACATTACCATGTAAAAATTTGTATTTACTTAATACATAATATAAAAATTAAAACATTTGTATTTACTTGATACATATACATAAAAATACGTAATTTCATTTTTTATATTTTAAAAATTTGTATTTACTTGATACATAATATAAAAATTAAAACATTTGTATTTACTTGATACATATACGTAAAAATAATGTAATTTCATTTTTTATATTTTAAAAATTTATATTTACTTGATACATAATATAAAAATTAAAGCATTTGTATTTACTTGATGCATATACATAAAAATAATATTGATTGGAATTATAATTTTTATATTTTAAAAATTAAACTACGTATCAAATTTGTATTACTTGATACATACAAATAACACGATTTTTATATTTTCAAAATTAGACTAAGTTGTATTTACACATACAAATGGCGGAAGGAAAGTAAAGCATTGGAGAGAGTTTTACAATGTTACGTTATACGATGTCAACAACGATGTTATAAAAAATCACAATCCAATTAATTACTGTCATATGGCATGGACATTATAACATTGACCCTTATGCACTGGAGATGCTAACATACGAGCAAAGGATAGATACAACATTATATTATATATAAAGGGTGGCCTCGCAGTGTGTGGACATCACTAACTCGTTTCCTAGAGAAGCTTTCTTGAAAAGGTTGTGAAAAATGTCGTTGGAGAGTTTCGGTGACATTCACGCGCTTCCGGAGGACTGCATAGCCAACGCCCTATCGCTCACGAGCCCTAAGGACGCCTGCCGGCTGTCGGCGGTCGCCTCCACGTTCCGCTCCGCCTCCCAATCCGACGTCGTTTGGGGTCGGTTCCTACCGTCCGATTACCGTGATCTGATAGCCGGTGCCGTCGACGGCCCTGATGCCCTGCTTTCTAAATTCCGTTCTAAAAAGGACCTGTATCTGCACCTGTGTGATCATCCGATTCTCATCGATGGCGGCCGCAAGGTCGGTTTATTTCCTTTTTTTGGCTGTTTTTAGGATGAAATCGATTGGTATTCATACGATTCTAAGTTCTGATGTGTGCTATATAAATTGTTACATGTGGGCATTTTTTGAAAAAACAAAAATGAAATTGGTCCTGATTTAGCATGGCTGATCAAGTTTGAATTTATGCCTGATAGTATGAATGTATATGTTTTCCTATCCTTTTTGACTGTGCTGTTTCTTATTAGTTTTGGATTGGCACGTTTAGTTGATATTTTAATTCTCAGTTTACATGTTTGTGAAGATTGAAACATAAATGGTTTTTGTTTGTTTGGACTATAGAGTATTTGTGGAGTTGGAGAATCTAAGAACCATTGTTGTGTTTTGCCAAGATGGTGGATTAAAATTGTTGGTTTTCCTGTCTCCCGATTAAACTGTTATTAGTGTTACCTTCTTAGATTGCATTGAGTTACTTGTGATTGGACTGACAGATTGAAAGCCAAGAAAATGACGGAGATAACACTGTGATGATGATTGACCCTTCTCTTGATAAATGTTGAATTGGAATATTGTGTAACATAGCAGAAAGGCAATTGCCTTATGACATTGGCAGCTCAAAAGTAAGTTGTCATTTTTATACTGATTTCTGCTGGAATCAAGGTGTCAGCTCACAAGTTTTCATTTTTATTTTGGTTTTGGTTTTTGTTGCAATCTAAATTTATTGTTGCTTGGAGATGGGATTTATTATCACGGTCCGTCTTATCAGTGATCATCTTGAACAGAGCTTTTCATTAGAGAAATGCAGTGGAAAGAAATGCTACATGATAGCAGCAAGAGATATCCATATCGTTTGGGGCGATACTCCTGAATATTGGCAATGGATCTCTCTTCCCGAGTCTAGGTAATTCGAACACCCCACCCTCTATTCTTGGTTGTTACAAATCAGGTCCTTGCAGCTTTGTGCTAATCAGTTGTGGTCTACTGGTCTTTGTCATTCAGATTTCGCTGCACGATAAACATAAGAACTAAACACTCATTTTTTCGAACCGGGTTTTCTCCAATAGAAGTGCTAACTAAGTCGGTCCATTTGCTTGCTTCAGGTTCCCTGAGGTGGCAGAGCTTCTTGCCGTGTGCTTGTTTGAGATACGGGGCAAAATTAGTACCAAGATGCTTTCGCCAGGCACATGCTACGTGGCATACCTAGTGTTCACCCTCAAACCGGAGGCTGATGGATTCTATAACAACCCGGCCGAGGCTTTTGTGGAATTGGCCGGTCATGAGAGTGAAAGGCGCTCCGTGTTTATACATTCGGACGGGGCCCACACTGCTAATGATAGCAAGCACCCGACACAGAGGGGTGACGGGTGGATGGAAGTCGAGTTGGGAGAGTATTTTGTCGAGGGAGGAGAAGATGCTGATCTGGAGTTGGGCGTGCATAACGTGTGGAACATGAGGAACGGTAACTGGAAAAGTGGCTTCGTTTTTCAGGGGATTGAGGTCAGGCCCAAAGCCGTAAGTAGTTAAAGATGGTGATCTTGGCTTAATTCATGTCAATAGTCGTAATTTCTGAATCTTCTGTTGTTGTACCCGTCTTTTGGCACGACGATGCTTTTCGTTGCTTATGTGTTTTCCAGTCTTGACATTTTGTTTGTTGATAGTTATAATTTCGGAATCTTTTGTTGTTGTACCCGTGTGTTTTCCAGTCTTGACATTTTGTATGTTGATGGTTATAATTTCTGAATCTTCTGTTGTTGTACCCGTCTTTTGGCACGTTCTCTGCCTATGTGTTTTCCAGTCTCTACATTTTGTATGTAGATCCGTTCGGTGTGAAGGAGATTATTGATATTGCTGGCGTGGATGTGGGTAATCTATACTTATATAATAAGGTGTACCATTTACGAAATTTAGTAAGTTGAAAAGTCAATGCAATAAATGCATTACTATTTTGAGCAACATAATATAATATCATATCTATACTTATATAAAAGGAGATTTTATTTACTACATTTACTATCCAGAAAAGTCATCTGCATTAAATGTCATTACTATTTTGGTATTATAATATTTTATTTATTTAATTGATTTATTTATTTGTTTTATTTAAAAAGGTAAGTATAATAAAAAGATTTTAATAACAAAAAAATCAAATACCAAATAAAAATGTACACTTTGACTTATTTGATTATATTTGGTATTTGATTATACCAAATATATTCCTATTTAGTATATACATTAAATACTTATTAAAGTATTTATTTGTTTTATTTGTCAAAGTTAAGTATAGATTTGTTTATATTATCAAATCATAAAAAAATATTAAATCCATATTGTTAAAAAGAAAAAAATCATATAATTTTATAACAATTCTATTACACTATTTAACAATATTTCTTTTTTTATTATATAATAAAATAATAATTAAATATTATATGGTGAACAACAATTAGTAAAACTGTTGCTTTCTCTTATATCAAGGGATAAATTTATATGCTAAAATTAAATTTTTATTAGTATAAATGTTTTAGTGAGATAATATATTAATTATTTTACAAGCTAGCCCTAACATGCTCATATTTAATGTTTTAAAAGATGTAGAAAAAACTTATAATAACTCTATTGTTTTTTATACTTAAACGTTGATTAAAAGAGGTAAAAATTCCTAATTTTTTAGACTTAAACGTTGATTAAACCATAGATTGAAAGTCTATATTTAGTAAAATTCCTAATTGTGATAAAAAAAATTAATTTTTGCTATATTTTAGAATATCTTTAAATTTATTATAAAAAAAAAAGAAAAAAAACTACAATGAGAAAAGTAAGTCAGCTATATATCGATTTGTTGTACTCCTCAAATCACATTCACAATTTGGCTACAAGGAAAAGAAACTCATTGATTAAAATATTAATGTACAAGAGACTTTAAGACTCTACTTGAATATTATAAAACTTTTATTGAACATTATACAATTTTCTTGCGTATTATAAACTTTTATTGAATATTACATCTTATAATATAATATTCTCCAAATAAATATATCCTCGGGTCACGTAATATATATATCCCGTACATTTTTCTTTATTCATGTATATAATTATAAACCTGGATAAATAGCCTTAAAATTGTGCACTTCGTGCATGACACGGGCTCTGTACTAGTACAGATGAAAGTTGGAACCGAAATTCGTAAATTTAAAAAATTCTATGGAGCCATCCTTTTTCTGTGCAGTTATCCATCACTTAATGTATTGTCACATGTCTAAAGTATATTTATTGGTCAATACACTATTTATTCACAAATAAGTATGGATGACTCTATAAGTCATGCCATTCGATAGCTTCATAACAAAACTGTCGTAAATTTACCTTACTTTTTATGCTGTAATAATTGAGTCTACTTCAAAATAGGCCGCTTGGGAGAAACACTGAAGTAAAGGAATTATCTCCATTTAAAATTGCAGAAAAGTTTGTTGTGGAAAGTTTCATTAATGAGCTCACCACTATAAAAGTTTGACTGATTCAGTTCCATCCATGATCTCGTGATCCACATATTCAACATATAAGCTAAACTTACAAACATGAGAATGAATGTGATAGACTCATTTATGGTTTTATTCATCATGAACTCCCTACCTGTCAAGTTTGCACCACTATAAAAGTTTGACTGATTCAGTTCCATCCATGATCTCGTGATCCACATATTCAACATATAAGCTAAACTTACAAACATGAGAATGAATGTGATAGACTCATTTATGGTTTTATTCATCATGAACTCCCTACCTGTCAAGTTTGGCAAATCCTTGGTGTACTATAACACCATTAAAGATAAATGGAATTGTAAGAAAATTAAGGCTATGCTGGTGCAGGAAGAGGCGAGAATAAATTAGATGAAATAAGAGTCGATTCACTTTATATCTAATATGTGAGCAAATAATAGTAAAATAAAAGGGGAAATAAAGGCAAATAAAAGGAGACTGACCTACTTAAAGTTTTTGTAGGTCCAATCATTAAATAAATAAGGTGTTGTTTTGGTAAAAAGAAAGGTCACCTTAGGAAAGATTTCCCGAAATAAAATCTTGATTCGAAAAGAAAGACATACATTAAATTTTCGTATGATGTGAATCAAATTTATTAAAGATTTCTAATAATACTTTTTGGCTTGGTTCTGTGCAACTACTTATGTATCTCATATTTATTTTGAGGTTAAATGTAGTGCACGTAATTAAAATTCTACTCTCATATGGCATTAAAGATTATGGTCATATATCCAAAGAAAAGTTTTGACAATGGTGAATAATGAAACTATTTCTCATTTGGATTTTAGTGATCAAGATGTATGTGTAGAATGAATTAAAGAAAAGCAAACTAGCATGCATTAAAGAGATCTGCCATGAGAAGCACTAAAATCTTATAACTTATTCACACTAATTTTGTGGTCTATTCAACGTCCCTTTTGTGGGGTGATGTAAAGTATTTAATCACCATTATAAATGATTTCTCACGTTATAGTTATATTTATCTACTACATGAAAAGACTCAATCATTGGACTATCTAAAGATATACAATGATGAAATGGAGAGGTAGTTAAGTGAATAAGTAAAAGTTGTGAGATCTCACTAGAGTGGTGAATATTATTGTAAGTTCAATAAAAGAGGATAATGTCCTAATCCATTTGTAATGTTTGTTGAGATTTAAAATATTTGTGTGAAATACATTATAATTGAGACTTCTCAACATAATGGTGTTGTTGAGAGGATAAATCGTACTTAAAAGGATATGGTTAAGAATATGTTGAGTAATTCAACATTAACATTTTCTGTGTGGATGCATGCATTAAAGATTTCTGCATATTGGTTAAATTGGGTTCCTAGTAAAGTAGTTCCTGAAATACCTTATGAACTATGGAAGGGTAGGAAACCTAGTTTAAGGCATCTTCATATTTGGGGGTGTCAAGCAGAAATAAAAGTATGTAATCCACATGAAAAGAAACTTGATCCTAGGACAGTCAGTGGTTTTTTCATTGGCTACCCGGAAAAGTCTAAAGGATATAGATTCTACTCTCCTAACTATTGTGCGAGAATAGTTAATTCCGGAAATGCTCGATTCATTAAAAATGATCAAATTAGTGGGAGTTTGGAACCGCGAAGTTTGGATGTCAAAGAAACTCGTGTTGAACAGTCCAAACCCGAGAGTCCATCAATGGTTGTTATTCTTTTAGTTACAGTACCGTCATGTAACTTAAATGAATAACAAAATGATCCAAACTCATTTGATAATGAATCATCACAAGAAAGCAAGAAATTATAGAACAACTTTTGGTTGATGAATGACAAGCCATGAAAAGTTAAAATTCTGGAAAAGTTGATCAATGCCATGAAAGAATAATTAAAGTTAATGGATGACAATAAAGTATGGGATTAAGTAAAATTACCTGAATGGTCTAAAAGAGTTGGGTGTAAATAGGTTTTTCGAAACCAAACACGACTCTAAAGGTAATATCGAAAGATATAAAATTATACTTGTTTCTAAAGGTTACACCCAAAATGAAGGCATTGACTACAAGAAAACATTCTCTCTCGTTTCAAAGAAAGATTCCTTGAGAATTGTAATGGTAATGGTGGCTCTGTATGATTTTGAGCTTTATCAAATGGACATAAAGATCACTTTTTAAATGATAAACTTAGAAGGAGATCTACATGAACTAATTAAAAGTTTTTTTTTTTAGATCACAAGAAATGAAACGTTAGTGTGTAAGATGAATAGATCGATATATTGATTAAAACAAGTCTCTCGTCAATGGTATCTTAAGTTTAATGATACCATCACTGCTTATAGTTTTGTAGAGAATATCGTAGATCAGTGTATCTACATTAAGGTCAGTGGGAGTAGATTTGTTATTTAAGTTTTGTATGTCGATGACATATTTATAGTTGCTAATAATGTGGATATGTTGCACGAAGTAAAGTATTATCTCTCTAAAAAATTATGAAATAAAGGATGTGGATGAAACGTCCTTGCTAATTGGAATAGAAATATTCTGTAATAGATCAGAAGGACTAAAAAGTTTATCCCATTAAAGTTTTATTTGAGAGATAATGGATGGTTGTTCCGTATAATTTCAATTCATAAAAGGGACACATTTAGTCTAAAATAAATGTTCGAAAGGTGAAATGGAATGAAAAGTGATGGAGAAAGTTCCTTAGATATAAATGATTAGGAGTCTTAAGTGAAACAAACTTGTACTTGGTTTGGTAACATAATTGTTGATGTCACATTAAACAAATATTTAAAAGTAATCCCTAACTGATTATTTAAATGCTGCAAATAAAGAAAATTTTTAAAGTATTTACACGGCATTAAAGACCACATGCTAACTTAAAGAAGATCCAAATTATTTGTTATAATTGGATACTCGGATTCAGACTTTTGCTCATAATGTCTAAAGGAGCAAGATTATGGAGAAGTGGAACAAAGTCCATCATCGCGACGTCTACGATTAAGTTTGAGTTTGTGGTGTGCTTTGAGGCCACAATTCAAAATTTATGGCTACAAAACTTTATCTTAGGACTTGGAAATGTCGACATCTTGTCCAAGCCGCTAAGAAATTAATGTGGTTTTGTAGTAATAATATTTCAAGGAATGACAAGTATTCAAAGAGTGTGAATCACATAAAATTGAAATACTTGATCGTAAAATATAAGTGAAGAAAAATAAAGTGTCATTTGAGTATTTTAGTACTAATTGCATGAAAGCGGATCC